TAAATAGCCCAAATAAGAAAACAGCATTTTCAGAAACAAGTGATAAATTTTTTAAAAAAGCAAAGCATAGAGCTCTATTGCAAGAAAAAAAGGAATAATGGTGAGAAAGCAGAATTTTTAAATAGTATTTTCTACTAATCTTCACTCAGACAACAAAGCTCTAGCTGGCTATGGAAGAATAGAATAGAATAGAATAGAATAGAATAGAATAGAATAGAATAGAATAGAATAGAATAGAATAGAATAGAATAGAATAACTTTATTGTCACTTTGAATATACACAAATTGGCATACATTAAAGTGAAATTTTGTTGCATACAGCTTTCAAAGGAGCTGCAGCTTAGGATAGACAAGGAGAGAACACAAGAACACTTAACTAATTTAAACTAGCCAGATGAATTACAGGTAGTTCTTTACTTATCTGTCACTTAGTGACTTGTTGAAGTTATAATGCACCTCCTCAGGACTATATACAATCTGGATTCTAGTTCCAATGGTCGGGCCACCACCCCTGCAGTTATGCGACCACATTTTGGTTCTCAGCAACCAACTCACATTTATGGTAGTTTGCAGCATCCTGCGGTCAGATGACATGATTTATTATGTTTTTTTTTTGCCAGAAACCAGCATTTACTTCCATTTTCTGGCAAAAAAAAATCCATTGTGGACAATGAATTCACTTAATAACTGCGATATTCACTTAATAACACTATAAAAGAGATTATAAAATCAGATCAGTCAGTGGTGACCAGCTTAATGACTGGCATGACTTCCAACTGTAATTCCAGGCTGAATTGCAGTTATAAATCAAAGACTATCCATATATCGTGAGATAATGTAAAAAATAGCAAAGGTGAACACAAAACAAATAATATCTGACTATTCAGGTCCCTTTGTAAATGTAAATGTTTCTTTCTTCAAAAAAGGGAACAAGAATAATCTGGAAGTTACAGACCTGAGAAAATCCTGAAGCAAATTATTAAACAGCATGTTTATGAGCACTTGCAAAGCAACAATGAACAAAAGCCAATTAATTTGACCTGCTTTTTCAACAGTTACTAACCTAACAAATCAAGGGAATGCTGAGGACATATTATATTTGATTTCAGCAAAGCATTCAACAAAGTCTCATAATATCCACATTAATAAAATGATAAAATACATAGTAGATGCCCACTGCTATTAGATGGATTCAGAACTGACTGAGTGATGACATCCAGAAAGTACTCTTAAATAGCTCCACATGAGCTTAAGAGAACAGCATGAAATGGAGTTCAGTTCCCGTCTTGGAGAAATATCAGTTGTTTGATATTTTTCTTGCTAATGAATAAAGGAGTTATATTTGCAGATGACTCAAAATAAGAGTGACTATTATTTTAAAAAAGAAGAAAAAAATTAAAAAGGTAAAAACAAGTTTGAACGGCAGGCTAGAAAGAATGGGATGAATAGTTATTCATCCAGAGGAGGCTCAGAATCTCCTTGAACCATAATGGTGTCATATAAATAAAATAAATAAATAAATAAATGGAGAAAATATAAAAGGCACAATTATAAGATAGAATAGACCTGGCTTGGCAGTACTGTATGAGGAATGACATAGCATATCATAAATTGAATATGATGCAGCCGCTAAAAAGGCAAATGCAATTTTGAAATGTAGACTCCAAATCATGATAAGCAATTGTCCCCTCTATTTTCCCTTGTCCAGGCTTTAGTTAGAATTCTGTATCAAATTCCATGGGCTGCAGTTTAACATCAACAAATCAGAATTCTGAGGAGAACTACCAGTATAACGAGGGGCCAGGAAATCAAGTCCTGCAAGGAGTGATGAAAGAAACTGGGTACATGTTGTTTGAGGGGGCATTGCCATATAGATACCAAATAAGAGTAGACACCAACCTACTAGCTAACTGTATAAATGGTTGTGCTGAACCGTAGAATAGCAAACTAAAGTGGACCATCGGAATAATGATTTCCAGTGTTTCTGGCAACACTTTTTCCCAGTTTACGGAAAAACTGAAGTAAAGAGAATGGCTAGAGTACAGATAGAGTTAGCTTGCATTAAAATTAGCTGATTGAGATACATTGTACAGCATGGAACTGCTCTAGGTGGTTAATGGTGCAATAAACCCAGGCTATCAGCACATAAAATCTATCTTGCATTTTGCCTGACAGAATTAATTCACCATCTGCTTTGCAACTAAGAATCATGAAAAAGATTAACAAGCTTGTTACATACGCATACTTAGCATATGAATATATTAAGCTTCTATGTGGAAAGTCAGATCCTTGGACTATATAGCCAACTTATATTTTATTTACCAATAGCTGGCAAAATTCCTGACTTATTTGTTTTATTTACTTGTATATTATATATTTCCAAAGGAAAGATCATCTAGCTACAGTATTTCTGCTTTCCATATTTTATATTATGTGTTATATTAAAATTAATTATTAGTCTATCTGCTATTAGTTGAACAGCCATCTATAGAATGGTACTACCCCATTGAGTCCCCCAGGCCAAGCAGAAGAATTATAATTTTTATAACAGTTATAATTTTATAGCATGCCATTCTGATATTTCATCCTTTTTAAGGTCATTGTGTAAAAAAAATCCACATTCTATGGATGTGCTAATTATTATTACTTATGTTCCTTTGTTAGTTATTTTATTTTAATATGAATATACAAAGATGAGAGTCAGGGTCAGTTTTAACTGAAACTGAAACAGTTTTTTATATTTATAAAATATAAACATAGGTAAATAGATATTTCAGGACTAACCTAGAAGGCCTGTAATTCCATTGGAATTTGGGGGGTGGGGAGAACACTACCATAGTAAGAGAGTTCTATATCTTATGACTATCAACCTAATTTGCTTGACAAGTAGATAAACAGGGAAGGACCTCCTATGTTGATCTCAAAAGTTTAGCTTTTGACTGTTGAGTAAGATACCTTACATCAGGGGTGTCAAACTCGCAATGTCATGTGACGTGTTGCGACATATCATGACTTTTTTCCCTTTGCCGGCAATGGGCTGGGTGCGGTTTCAGCATGACGCATCCGACCCGCGAGCCGGCAGTTTGACACCCCTGCCTTACATAGAGAAAGAGACAGGTTGTCTCATTATGCTAAGCCATAATGTTATTTATAAACCATGACTAATATCTTAGTGTTCAGTTGAATCCAGCAATTACTGTTTATTCAACCATAATGAAAACAAATTATAGCTTAGCATAGTATGCAAAGTCAGATCCTATGGATATTTTTCCTTTCACTGGCTTGACATTTTTTAATAACACCTTATATTTGAGTGGACTGCTAGAACGACCCCAAGATTTCGGAGATGGGGTGAGGGGAAATGTATGGCTGATATCTGGCCTGTAAAAATCTGGAGATAATTGTTCCACCAAATGGTCATCTGAAATTCTGCAGCTCAGGTAAGTGGACAGGTTAAAAGGGAAGCATGGCTAAGTATCGTGGTATGAAGTGGCCATTTAAATGCTGCTTACTCTTATACATTTGAAATAATTTTAAAATCTTTATTTTTTACTTAAAATATTAAGGAACTTCAAAAATAGAATGTATCCTTCCTTAACAATCTGTAATGAAGTAAAAATCAAGTGGTAATTATAAGAAGTGACATTGAACACAACACATACAGAAAATAAAAATATAACAAATTAACACTTGGACATCACATTACAAATCTGCATAATTTAGTAAAGAATTTAGCAGCTGATAGAATCATATTCTGTTGATAACAGCTGATGGGAATACAGTAAATTAGATACCTATCTAGAGTTCTTCCAGTGAATTAGTTCAATTTCACTTGATTGTTCAAACCAAATTCAGTCTATAATTAATACAATAACAATATAACTATTAAAGTATTCAGTACTTGTGATCATTAACAAAAAAATAACAGCTAGATACAAAATATCACACTTTTTATTCACCCCAAGAAAAATGGACTTGAATTTAAGAATTTTTCCATTCTAAAAGAGGTTGATATACTAAAGTATTATAAATATTAATAAAGTATTATAAATATTGACAAAAACCTGTAAAATATTGTCAATTTAAAACTGCAAACATCAGCTGAAAGGAATCCTGGATACTTTCTCCTTTTCAAAAAATACTTGCATATGCACCTGTGTGTTTATTTATACATACAGTATGTCTATTTATATCTGATGAAAGATAGAAAGTGTAAGATTCCCCATTTATAACATCAATTGATCCCAATTATCTCACATATGGAAATATAAACACACCCATATGTATATTTCCTTCAGAAAGAGAGAGATAAAAACCCCGTTTTATCCATAACAATAATAACCCCAGATTTTCCAAAGTTAACTCAATTTTCATAATTTTGCATAACACACTAAACCACAAATGAACCACATACTACATTTTCTAATCATACACCAAGCAGTAAATTAGTGTCTCAAGTTTTGAGTTATCATGCAATCGTGGAATACATTTATCTTCCTGCCACTAATCAAAGACAATTATTAACGGCTAAAATTATGTTAACTCTATTTCTCCAAGTAATTTCCTCTGCAATGTTTATGAAGTTCAAATCACGAACCATCAACACATGAAATTTCTTGGTTCTGCACGCTACAAAAAAAATGCTACTTTAAGCATTTTTCATGCCACATAACGAGAGGAAACAAGTCAGAAACCCCTAATGTTCCCGAAAAAAAGAGGTGAATCAAGGACGAAGGCAGAGAAATCAGGCATAGCCCGCAACCTCTAAAAGTTTCAACAGTCATTGCCGGCACTGAAATGTTTCAGCTTCTTTGCCGGACCGTCTTCTTTTCCGAGACAGGAGGGAAACACCCTCTGGCCCTTCAGGCAGTTGCTTAGTCGCCTTTGCTTCGCCAAGGACCCCAGGTAGCGTTGCTGGGCAAAACTAAGCTGAGACGCCGGGCCTAAGTAGGAGCGGGGGGGGGATGTTAGTGGGGGTTTATTAGTGGTTTGCCTCGCTTATGGCGCTGGAAATGGACCCGTTGCTCCACGCCTTGAGTTATTTCAGGCGGAGGAAATTCCAACTCTGTTCGGATCTGTGTTCCCAATTACTGGAAAAGGAGCCTGGCGATCAGGTAATGAGAGACGGCAGGAGCTGGAAGCGTGGATGTGATGTTTCCGAGTTCAGGAAAAATGTAAAACCTGGCCTTGGGTGGATGCCTTGATTTAGTAATTACTCTTTTTTATATCTGCAGATATTTGCTTTTTGGCGCAAGCGTTTTGTAAAATCGTGTGACGGTGCCTTTCCTGCATTTCATATTCTGGGTAATGAATTAGCTGGAACAAGATAATCCAGAGGGTTTTAACTCCAGCAGTGCTCATAACTGGAAACCCTACCTCCCAATATGTCAGTTAATAATGGAAGAAAAATTCTAGTTTAATGAAACTTATTATTTAGATAAATTTGAGACAGGTCACAATCCAATTAATAGCTGACATGATTTCAAATGCAGGTGGTTCTCTTTTAACAACCACTCACTCAGCCACCATTCCAACTTGTGATGGCACTGAACAAGTGGTACTTAATGCCAGCCCTTAAAATTCCAGCTGTTGTAACATCTTGAGGTCACATAATTGCCATTTGTATCTTCTTTTCCGGCTTTCTGCAAGCAATCAGGCAGCAGCAGGAGATTGCAAATAATGATCATTTGATGTCCTCACTTAACAGTGATGCAGGATTTGTTTAACAATGGCAACGGGACATGCCAGATGTGCTATCATTAAGTAGCATGGTCATGTGATGTGCTTTATGACTTGCTTAGTGACAGCAATGTCTGTTCCAAGTACCATCATTAACCGATGGTTAACAGAATTAATGGAATGTGTGGGTGACTGGGGGACAAGGAAAAGAAATGCAGCCTATCTGATAAGAGCCTGCAATCAATTAATGGTCAGACAAAGAAACTTAGGGAAAAAACCCTAATTGATCAGACTCTTAAAAGTATCAGCAGGAAGTTTGTACCTTTAGACTGCAAAACTGATGTCGGCCATTCCAGGTAAACCATACAGGACACACAACTGGATGAGCTAAATTTACTTTATTATGAGACAAATTTAAGTGAACCTTGCACCTCTGAAGTTACAAACATACGATTAAGGTGCTGGCCTAGAAACCAAGACACCATGAGTTATAGTCTTGCCTTAGGCATGAAAGCCAGCTGGGTAGCTTTGGGTCACTCTCAGCCCAACCCACCTCACAAGGTTGTTGTGGAAAAAATAGGACAGAGTAGTATTAGTATGTTTGCTACCTTGAGTTATTTATAAAGTAATAAAAGTGGGATGAAAATCTAATAAGGATAGCATATAAGGCAGGTGCAGTTTTGCTTCACCTATTATATCATAAAAAGTTTGTTTGGTCCAGAGGCCTTTATTAGGACTGTCAGATCTAGGCTGAAAAAATCCAGATGATCATAGATAGGAACAGAAAACTCTTACTTGGCCTCTATGCAATGATACTAACTCTGGTTTATTTAACCATAGTTTTAATGACTATAGTAGTCTGATAAAAACAATGTTTTTAAAAACATATAAATTGCAGTTGCTTTATATTATCTTACTCTGTGTCAAAACCAAACCAACCACATTGTACCTGAGCTTGATGTGTAAACTCTGCAAATGTGTAACTATCTCTCATGATGTAATTAAAACTAAAACGTTATATAGGATAAGAGCTTCAACTACTTGCACATCTACAACAAACATTGAAAGTAATGAAGCCAAAATAACAACATGTTTATGAGTATGTTATCATTTTCCACCTAGGGATGCTCATAAGTTTGCTTAACTGAAATGCAGAACCATATTAAAAAGATGTATAGAACCTCAGGCTTAGCAGCATAACCAGGTCTTGATGGCCTTTCAAAAAAATTAGAAGAGATGTAGTCAATCTAATTTCAGGAGTAAGGATGTTCTGTAAGATGGGTGCAATAACAGAGAAGGTACTTCTACTGGGACCCACCAATGTAGGTCTCTAGGTGATGGGACCTGCAGAATACCTTCTCCATGAGAATGAGGTAGGATGCTATAACCAGGGAGAGGCAGTTGCTCAGAACTCTATTTAAAAGTATTCTGCTGAAAAGGCTAAAAGCTGTTTGCTGCAGAAACCGATTCTGCACTATAATTCTTTCAGATATATAAGTGACTTATCCATATTACAGAATTGGAACATATCTTACAAGTTCTTCAGAACATTAAGGGTTAAAATATAAACATAAGCACAAGATATGTTTCTTACTATTGGTTATGGATGGGTAGTGCTTAGTGCCAAGCAATGTATTATGAATTTGGAAAGAAAGTGAGATCAAGCTTTCCTTCCTAGAGTAATCTTCCTTTTTTAAGCCAGCAAGCTATTTAAATCAAAACTCTCCTCACATATACAAAAACTCTGCCTTTAGCATGCCTTAGTGTAGTTTCAGTTTCTATTCCTGTTCTGTGCACAATAAGATTCTGCACTTTTGATAAAGCAATATTAAAACTATGGTTCTCATTGTGTTATATCACCCTTTATATATGCATAGACTGCATAGTTATGTTTCATCACCTCCTTTTTAGGAAATTGCTAAAAAAGGGCATCCTGATTTTTCTAAATGTATCATTTTAATGTAAAGTTGCTTTTGTCTTTCTAGTACAATTTTGTTTTTTGTTTTGTTTGTGTTTAGTATACATTCTAATTTTACATGTCTCTTGTTTTCAGCGAAAAGTCCATAAGGTGATTTCCAATCACTGATTAATATGGTTGTTGATCTTTTTCTAATTAATTTTGCCATCTCTGCTAAGTCCTCCCACTTTTACCAATCATTTCTGTGTTGTGGCTATTTAAGAATCTTTCTGTTTTTTCCACATATAATACTCTATTAGGCTTTTTGGGTTTCTTTCTTCATTCTCTTTCTTTATACCCTTAGTCCGTTTTGTTTTTCCATAGCTTTAATAACATAGGCCTATTACATTTATTTTGTAAATTCCATCAATTTTTTCCCTTTGATATCAGACAATCAATACAGGCCTGGTTTGTTTATTTTATTCCACATTTATTCCTAGTCAACATTTTGATAAAGCTTTTTGCTGTTGTTGTTTTTAAAAATTAAAGATGTTATTTTCCTCTTTATTTTATGTTTTGTAATTCAGAAAGAAGGCTGACTCACCAAGTAGTTATATGAATCCATTCTTAACCCTGATAATGGTGAAATGTGCATTGTGACTTCAATTAAATCTACTTCTGATACTTATTAGAGAGCAGGATTCAAGAAATTTAGTAGGATTTCCTTTTAAGTAAACATTATTTAAAATTAATTTGTGTGAAAGGATCTAAATCAGCTATTACTGTTAGAAATAAGCTTTCATTAACCTTATTAAACTCATTGTAGCTTCTTTGTTTATAACTGTAGCATGACCTAAAAGGAACATGTTTCTGTCCTACTATCTTGGTTGATCATCCTGATCGCTTGCCTAATCTGATTATTGTTCTTTATGTTCCATATGTCAATTTAAAGACCAGGAAACAGTACTGATTTATAGTACTGAAGTACACAAAGAAAAGTAGATGAACAGCTTATGTTGAATTGCATAATTTTATGGTTTTCTTTGCACATACACATAATATTTTGATTTCAGATTTTGATTTTAAAGAAAATTTCTTAACTCATCCTAATACTGTATTTCACTGCTGATTTTACTTTCATGCCTTTTGAAGACATAATGAATACAATAAAAAGATGGAGAGATATCATCTTAAAATATTAACTATTAGAAAATATGTGTGTAAATTCATACTAATTGATAAAAAAAAATCTTCATTCTATCACTGTGTATTCATTAAGTGACCTTGAGCAGGGTCTCTGCTGTCATATCCCTTTCTAATTCCAGGAAAGCATCTTTGAGCTTAACTTTACATACCCAAGTTTATTTTTGTTATATCAACTACTGTATGGTTTGAGAGCCACTTTGGTATAGTAGTTTAGATATCAGACTAGAAACTGGGAAATTGTGACTTCTAGTCCTTTGGGATGAAGCTAGCTGAGTGACTTTCGGTCAGTCACTTTCTCTCAATACTAGGAAGGAGGCAGTGGTAATCCAAGAAGAAAACTGCAGCAATGTGTCCAGGCAGTCTCTAAGAATCGGACATGATTGAACAGAAGAAAAAAGTTTACTATAAACTTTATAGTTTACTATAGTTTATTTTTTCTTTTTAACATCAGCAGTTAAGTAGTTTCAAATCTTTGTATTTAAAACTAAGCATATTGCATTATAGCCTACAAGTTTGAATGAAAAGTTGATTGCCGTGTTCTTGGGAAAATACCAATTCAAAATGAAACTGTGCTGTTTATCTCTTTCCCCAACGGTGTAAATATTGCCATAGCATAAAAGACAGTGTTAAATGCTTTGCTATTTAACAGTGCAAATGGTTAAATATTCATATTTTTCCAACTTTTATTCCCTTATCAAAATTGATAAAAATTCTTTAGATTACTGCAATGCTCTGTTGCATGGGTCTGCCCTTGAATTGCACCCAGAAACTTCAATTAGTCCAGAACAGGGCAGCAGTTCTGGGTGTCCCTAGGTTTGCCCATGTAACACCTCTGATGTCTGAGCTGTATTGGCTTTTAGTTTCTTTTCAGGTGCAATTTAAGGTGTCAGTTATCACCTTTAAATATCACATATGGCCAGGTTATCTGCAGGACCACCTTTCCCTTAGGACAGTGGTGGCGAACCTATGGCACAGGTGCCAGAGGCGGCACTCAGAGCCCTCTCTGTGGGCACGCGCACCGTCGCCCCAATCCTAGGCCTTCAGCTGGGTTTTATAAAACCTTTTCGCTTTAGGACTCCACCGCCGTGTGCAAAAAAAAAAAGGTTCAATCAATCGGTCAATTTCAACTTCTCAAAAAAAAGATATTGCAAAGTTGGAATTGATTGAACTTTTGAGTCCCACCCAGTCTGCTGTTACCACTGCAGCCACGCCCACCCAATGGCCATACCCAGCCAATGGGCCACACCCACCCGGCACCCTACGATGCATAAGTGGGTTTTGGGTTGCAGTTTGGGCACTCGGTCTCTAAAAGGTTCGCCATCACTGCCTTAGGATATCTACCCATCCTACTAGGTCAGATAGGTGGGCATGCTTCTAGTCCCTTTCCTTAAATATTGCCATCTTGTGGGAGCTAGGAAGTAGCCTTTTCTATGGCTGCCCTGCCCTGTGGAACACTTCCACCTGAAGTTTGGCAGGCCTCTACCTTCCCAGCCTTCAGTAAAGCATTGAAAAGCTGGCTTTTCCTACAAGCACTAGAATAACATGAGGTGACTGTATATTGGAAGCTTGGCTTTGGCATGTTTTTTTTTAACATGTTTGGTTTTTATAATTTTATATGGTTTTTACGTTGTTTTAATTTTTGATTTGGAGCCCCATAGAGTTTGCTATAAGATGGACAGCTATATGAATGTTTTAAATAACTAAATATATAAGCCAGTGAGAGATTTGGAGTGGAGATCACTATAGATTACAGAGCACTTCATGCAAATGGAAAGATTCATTTTATACTTCCTCTACACAGACTAGTATTTTAAGAGAAGTTACATACTAATTTATATGATTTATATATTCATTTTCTAATAAATTCTGGAAAAATATATGAGATTAAGCACTTCATTTACTATATTTTATTGATTTAATATAAATATGTTTAAAAGTGTTTACTACTTTCAAAATATATGTATTTCAATCTGCATTACATCCGAGTTTATATTTTGTCAAAACATAAACTCATGTGGTTTGTTTCATTTTTCATTACATGAATACAGCTTTTGTGGTCTGTTAGCTATGATTTATGACTTAGTATGTTGTGTTTTATTCAATAAATCATTTTCTAGGAAACCTGGATTAATATGTACAAGCCCCGACTATATATAGAATTTCTAAATCAGTCATTGTTAGTTAGTGACTGAGTTTATATATAAAACTAAATTAGGATATTTGGTTAAACAAAAATTAGTGGCCAAGTTTGCACATAATAAATAAATCACATTATGGCTTAGGACAGAGGAATAACAGGCATATCATCAAACTGTCTCTTCGCCAAGAGAAAGAGAGGCCTCTTCATGTTTTTGTTTATATTAAGTATACTTTTGTTTTAAAAAGAAGCAAGATTCGCTAGGATTCTGTATGATTCCCATTTCACTATTTTAGTATTAGATTTGTTTGCTGCCTTGAGTTATTAATAAAAATAAAGGTGGGATAAAAAATATAAAAAGCATTAAGTGGAAACAGGGTTTTCAGCTATCATTAATATTATAATACTTATTGGGACTGTCTATTAAAATCCTCCCAAACTTTTAAATGACTTCATACAGTTAGAATTGTGTTACAAAATAAATATCATATAGGCTCAAGTTGAATAGTAGAATAAAGCAGGCCTATAACAAATGCTCTTCTCCAACCAAGTACTTTATTAAATTTGTTATTTGTGCTTAAACAAATAAACCTCCACTCTGCCATCAGGATAAATTAATGCATGAGATCAACATATTAGTCCTAGATTGATGTGTTGTTTCTGAAGATGTCTGGAAAGAGTGAGGGAAGAGGCAACTTGGGATTTTAGTTGCCTTTATTGCTTCAGGATCTGGCTGCTGAGAGAAAGTTTTCTAGGAGCGATCACATGATACTGCATGAGGCAGCAGCATGCAACATAGAGTCAAACTGATTTGTATGGAGTTCTAAAATGCACAGATGTATTTATCTATTCAATTTCTATGTCCACCCATCTCAATGATTCCTGGTGGCTTATAATTAAATATATATATATTACAGTTAGAAATATTTAAAAAAAAATTAAAAAGTAAGACCAATAACAACTCTAAAACATCCAAATTATATATATATAAGAGCAAGATGTTTGGCCAGTTAGCAATAGAGCCAGAAAATGGGGCATTCAGCACCCCAGGCTCGGGAATATAGCCAGGTTTTTAGGGCCTTATGAAAGGCCAACGGAGTTGGGGCCGTACTGATCTCTGAAGGGAGAATGTTCCATAGAATCAATAGGGGCTACTGCAGAAAAAGCTCACCTTCTGATCCCCATCAGCTAACATTTTTGGCTAACAGGATCTGCAGCATGCCCATTCTGCTCAACTTGGTTGGATGGGTAGAGACTCTTGAAAAAAGGTGATCTCTCAGGTACCCTGGTCCTAAGCCATGGTGGGCTTTAAAGGTAACCACCAGCACCTAGAATTGCACCTGGAGACACCGGTAAGCAGTGCAGCCCACACAGGAATTGTGTTACCGGTGCCTTGTACCTAGCATCATTTACTATCTGCTCAGCTGCACAAATCCTTTTATTTCCCTATCAAAATGTAATTAAATATTCAGTAGCATCACCTACAGATTCTGCCTAATTTGAAATGGAACATTCTATTGCTTATAGATGAGAGAGGCAGTAGAGTACATGATAAAAATATCTCTCCCTTCTAATGTAATACTGGGAGTGACTAAGCATTTGTAAACATCTGTCAACTGGATGAATGTGTTCTCTGCATTCTTCTTGAGGTCTTCCTCACATATTTCTCTAGTTCTTCTGGCATGTTTTTTATGTCTAATGCTTGCATTGAAGACAATAATGCAGCCAAGATCTCTGTATCCCAACGTCCATTTTATTTTTTCCTTTCCCACAAGTGTCAAATAATCTACTGCTGGCCTATTGTATTCTATTTGATTTTAAAACATTGAATGTATTTTGCAGACGTTTTAGTTTACTGGGCTTTGTTTTCTCTCCATCTCTATTTTAGGCTGTTTGGTGTTTAAAAATGCGAGCATTAACTGAAATGGTTTATGTGGATGAAATTGAAGTGGATCAGGAAGGCATAGCTGAAATGATGCTGGATGAAAATGCAATTGCACAAGTTGCACGTAAGCTGCATTTATATGTGCTCCAAAATACATTGCAAGAAGCAGCTCATGATTCCCTCCCTAGGATACTAACATTCCTTTTTAATGGTTAATTTCTCCCCCCCCCCAAGCTGTTCTATGGAATGAGTGATTGCTACTAGTTAAACTATTATCTTGTATTTTCTTTTCTTTAAAATTATTATCTTCAGTTTTGATAAAATAGTACATTTTATGTCAATTAATATTACAGTTTAGAATTCAACCATGCATTTCTTGTTAAAATGTTCATATACCTATAAAATATCAGTTGTCTTTAGTGAGTAAATAATCTTCATGTACACTTTGTATTCGATCAATAATGCAACAAGCTAAGAAATTGATTTTCAAGCAAAATCCTCAGTACACTAATTAAAATCTCCAATTTTAATTACTTTATTATGAATGTAATTCCAGTGCTTCACAGTTAGCATTTTGTTTGCATAAGGGAATTATCTTCTCTTTACAGTTTTGACTGATTCTGAGTCCATGATTAAATGAAGCAGTGCTTTTTTAAACAAACAAATAATAGTGTCAAATTTTATTTGTGGCACTTCACTCTTCATCTGTGCTTTGAATCTTCTCTCTTTGGGTTTTATTTTAAAAAACCTGGGAGACGGCACCAAAAGATAAATGGTAAAAGAAACATCTATAGGAAAATATCTATAAAATATAAACATCGTGATTTTGTTTTGGTTTGTTTGTTTGTTTGATAGGACCTGGTACTTCACTTAAAACACCTGGAACTGGTCATGGCGCTGGGCCTAGCAAGGCTATCAGGTATTATTGTACTTAGTTTCTTAGTGGAGCTAACTGATTTGGTTATTTTTTCCTTGTATTTAAGTGATAATCATCACATAGAATTATAACAGAAAGAAATAAATGTATTTTATTTCCTATGTTTTGAGACTAGCTGATTTGAGCTTTTTGTAATTGTCATCCAGGTGGCAGCTACTATGTACTTGAATTCTTTTCATTCTGGTCAAGATAAGCTTTTAGGGCTGGTGGGTTTTTTTCTTTTTTCCTCCTCAGCCCTTTTCATTTTGTCCTATATTTTGTATATTGTAAGCCTGAGAACTAACAGGAGTTATCTGATTATTTATATTTTTTAAGTTATTTTAGAAGTCTTCTTGCCAAAGAATGAAATTAAAATTGAAAAAAATTTGAGTCGCTGTAAATATATTTTATAGGAATCATAGAAGTTCTTCACAGCTCCTTAGTGGATCAGAAATTCCTGTTCTTAAGTTATAGTCATGGACTGAACTTTGGGTCAAGAAATTACTCAGCTGTGTTTTGTTAAATAGACACATAAAATACATTGTTAATTTCCCCGCTCCGCCCCCCAAAAAAATTACAAGTGTGATATCTAGTTGAAATCAGTTTTCCAGACTACATTCTATGAAATACCAGCATTCCTCAGAGACTTAATAATAAAGTTCTATGAATAAAGTTAATAAAGTTAACTTAATAAAGTTCTGTGAACAAAAATCATTGCTTGCTTTTTTTTATTATAAATGGACTAGCTAAAGGAGAGCTTCAGTCTATTTGTTAATTTTTCTTCTTTAATGTGTTTTTCTTGCTCTAATAGGATGCAAACTTAAAATGATTTTTAAATGATATTTCTGTATAGTTGGGCAGAAAGTGCTGGGATATTTTTCTGTCTCATTGTAGATGACAAATCCACAATTTTGTTGTACTCCTTAATGAGGTAAGAAGCTAGTCAAGGACTAGTAGGTATGCATTTTGTCAACCCGACCGAACACAGGTAAGGATACATGTTAGATCCTACCTTGTGGCAATGAGGGTGGCGAGGTCTAATTACTACTCCACCCTCATTGCGTCATCAGATAATCGCCCAGCCACCCTCTTCAGGGTGACCCGCTCCCTCCTTCAACTGAGGGGGGAGGAGGACCCCCTGGTGGGGAGGGCTGAGGATTTTGCACAATATCTGAATGACAAAGTCGCTC